CCAAGCACCAAAGTAAAAACACTGTAAGACAATTATCTAGGAAAAGTTTCTCAATTTTACATATGAAAATATGTATTAAAATAATATCTGACAAAATTACACATCTTATCATAAAGCAAATTTCTTACAAAAATATATATTGTATCTAAGATATTTCTCCCCTTTTAAAAAACACCAGTAGATAAGATACTACATACAGTATAGCACATTCCTCCCAGTGACTCTTATTCATGACTAGAAAGCCAATATTCAGTAATGAACCCTAAGAATGAAACTTCGAATTTGCAAAGACTATAACATCAAACGAAATTGGAGATATGCAATCACTACACTAAAAGAGAGTACCAGAAGCTGCCCTTTACGATGGCAAAAAATGTTAATGGAATACATTTAACAGGTACCTACTTAAATTCCTTATTTACTACTGAGGCATATCGTCTATTTGAAGCTAAGTACTAAGCAAAAGAAAGGTCAACAAAACAGTTTGGTACATTTTTAACTGGAAAAATAATAGATAATATTACATTTTAAAAAAAAGCTAAAGACTCTAGTGTCTTCAATTTTCTTTAATGGAAAAATCTCAAAACACCTCAGTAAGCAATAATCTTAAAAAGTCAGTCACAAATGTACCCAACGTTATCAGTACACCTCAAATCATCTAACTTGTACTTTAATAAGCTTGCTTATTAGTTCATTCACTAAATTTGGCCCCTTGGTTTGTCCTCACTCTCCATCCACTCCCTTCACCAGATATTTTTCAAATATGTTCTCCCTGTTTGGAAATTTAGAAGTGATATAAGTACTCTCAAACCTTCAGAGAGATGTAAAACCACTGCAGCCCCAAATTATCAAGATCTGCTATCTTATGGAACTCATCAATAAGAGCCAAAGAACTGAAACAACTCTCATCAACTTCCTCTACCACAAAAAAACAGTGAGCAATGACTCGAAACTTAAGTGGCATGTATTCATTAATTCAATAAATATTGGAGGCCTACTATGTAAAGGCATTGTGCTAGGCACTGATAATATAACTATGAAAAAGATACAGATAGAACGCTGCCCTCAAGGAACTTCCATTCCAGTGAGGAAGCGAATCTAAAAACAATTCAGTAAACACAGTGATCTAATCAAATAGTGATCTGAATTCTACCAAGCAATTTTATTCTCGTGACCCACTGTACTACATATATCATCCTAAAAGCATTTCAGTTAATCCACTTGGTTTGTTCAAACCACATACTCATAATTATGCTTATTTAAATGAAAACCAATTTTGTGAATAATTCTGAAAACTTAGATTTGAGTATGTACCACATCCTTTTCCAACAGAATTAAAAAATTAGCTGCTAGGTATTCACAGCAGCACTATTCACAATAGCCAAAAAGTGGATAGCCCAAATGTCCATCAATGGATAAACAAATTGTGTATATATGCACACATATATATGAAATGAAATATTCAGCCACAGAAAGGTATGAAGTACTGATACATGCTACAAAATGGATGAACTGGGAAAACACTATGCTAAGTGACAGAAATCAGACACAAAGGGTCACATATTGTATGATTCCATTTATATGAAATACCCAAAATAGGTGAGTCCATAGAGACAGATCCCAGATTGGTGGTTGCCAGGGGCTAGGAGAGGGGTAGAGGTAATGGAGAGCAACTATTTAATAGGTACAGGGTTTTCTTTTGGGGTGATGAAAATATTTTGGAAGTAGATAAAAGCAGTGGTTGTGCAAGCACAATACTGTGAATGCACTATATGCCACTAAATCGTTCACTTTAAGATGGTTTATTTTATTCCTATGTGAAATCACCTTAATAAAAAAAAAACTTTAAAAAAAATTACCTGCTATAATATTTTAAAATGGACTTTTTGTCACAAATAAAACTGCTTATGTTTACTTTTGCGAATTTCAGCTATAAATCAAGTTACAAACCTTAACTCCTCCTAGATCCATTTTAATAAGAAAATGGTTTTTTTGTATATGGCAAAAATAATTTTTAAAAGCCATTCTCATGGCTTTTAAGTGTTATTCAATACGTCAGATGTACATACAATTTCTACTTACATGATGACGCTCTTTTATCATTCACATATTTGGTTAACACCTTTATTCATCATATATTTGGTATACAACGCGCTCTAATCAAGTTTGTGCCCAATAAAAGTTTGCTGACATCAACTGTTTATCTTCTTTAAAATAAAAATATTCAATCAAACAAGTTGTTATTAAGTCCCAATATCTAGGTACAATTCAATGCCACCGTCTCCACAAATGCCACTTTTCCCATTTCTTCCTATTATAAAATTGCATCACCATTCACAGGATGTCTAGCAACGTAGTTATTTGGGCTATATGCTTCCTCCAACTATTTTCCAAACTCCTTGAAGAGCCTCAGTTTTTTGTTTGTTTGTTTGTTTTGCATCATGCTAATGCTACAAAGAACCTAACAATAACTTCAACATAATAGGTGCTCAAATTATGTTAGTGGGACTGAGAATAAACGCAGCCAACACATACCTATTGTAAATTATTTATTATGTTGAAAAACACATCTAACATAAAGGCTAAAATGGACTGATAAAACAAGTACCGCCCAAAGAACCCTTATGCCTCACGTTCAGACGTTTTTCAATGCAACTCTACATAACAGTCTACTGAACATCAACATGAACAACATTAAGTAATTCACCTAATACCCGGAAAGAATAAATAGGGATTACTCTCATCCATTTCCTTTTTGAAGTTCACCTGCATATGTAATAGGGAAACTGAACTTAATGAACCAGAGTATAGCAAACGAGGTCACAAAAGAGCTGTAAGTCCCCAGTCATCCTGTTTCTATTTCCTGATTGGTCTGACCTGCAAGCATGGTGCCCAGGCTTCGCGGTTCAGGATCTCCTCTAAAATATCTTCTGAGGAGACCTTTTTCTTAAAATAAAATCTGACTTCCAGAACTCTCTAGGAGACTTATGAAAAAGGCATCCCACTTTAAAAAAAATCTTCCGAAACACTTTACTCAAGCAAGGAAACCCAGTTTTCAGAAAAGTCCCGTTACAGTTACACTTCAAATTAATTGTGGGCCGTAAACTTAACAAGCAGAAGTTAACTCGAAAGCATTACTCTCTCAGCAAAGAAGACTTAAAGAAACATGTGCATGAATTTTAGAAGGGTCCTACAAATTGAAAAATAAGCACCTTTCAAACAAGGATTTGTAAAAACAACCTAGAATAGATGAAAAACCAAGGGCACTTGCACTTCACAGGGACATTTTCTCTGCACCACACTGGCGAAACAGCGACAACCAGACGCCACTAGGGCAGCGGCCCCGACCCTCGGCCTCCAAACCCCGGGGGTCCATCAGCCACAGGCGTCCCGGAGTCGCGTTCCCTGCTAGTTCGCTTCCAACCAAGCCCACAGCCACTTCCACGTCGTAGCGACCCACACGCCTCCTCACTGATTTAAATTCGTACTTCACTCACAGCACGAGCGCGCGCGCACGAACGAACACAAACACACACACACACACACACACGAGGTTATCAATCCTGGGGCAACCAAGGGAGGGAGGGGGCGAGCTCGCGCGAGCGAGGAGAGGGGACGCTCCTCAGTCCCGCCTGGCCCGGCACCCACCTGCAGGCCGCGAGCCCGGGGGCGGCGGCGCCGGCGCCCCGTCCTCGCCGAAGACGAGTTTGAAGTCGAGCTCGTCGTGGGCGCCACAGTTTGCAGTAGTCATCGGCGTGGCTCAGGGTGCTGCGGCTCCTCCTCGGGCGGCGGCGGCACCGGCTCCTCAGCGCCGCTTCATGCCGGGCCGCGCCGGCCAGGAGGTCGCGGCTCCAAGGCAAACTTTCCGGGTGGGGCCCGCGACACCAAGCTTTCGGTTCCGAACCAGAGAGCTGGCCGGCCGCCGAGCCGCACCAATAACCGCCGCCGCCAGTTGCGGGTGCCAAAGCCGCCACCGTCGCCTTAGCCGATGTTCCCCGCCCCCCAGTAGTCGCCGCCACTGCCGCCGCGGGTGCGCTCTCGCGCCGTGCTGCGCGCCTGACCCCGCCCCCTACCACGCGCCCATCCGGCCCGGCTGCGGATAGGCCGTTTGCGCCGCGGACCAGCTTGGATGGCACCGCCCCCTCGCCGGCCTATCGCGTGACTCCCTCTCCCGGAGAAGGAAGTCACCTGAATACGGAAAAGTAGAGAGTCCTGCTACCTCTCGGGAGTTGTAGTTTGGACCCCTTTTCCTCTGCTACTCCTCCTAAACCAGACGAATGTAAGGCCGATAGCCCTCTCTAACTGGATGGGGAACCCACCACCGGCCAATCGGAGAAGACCTCTTTCCTTATTGGGCGGGGTTCTCGTCGAGGAAAGAGCGCTGGAAGAACCGAGGCTATGGGGTCGGGGATGGGCGGCGACACTATGTTGCTCATGAGGGCTGGCTTTAGAGGAGGCATCAGGGCACCGCAGGATTATCTGGACGCCACGCACATGCCCGCCCCCCCCACTTCAACCTTAATGGCGGTGTATTGAGAGGGCGGGAACCGGAGCGAGCTTCTAGCTAGGCTGGGGCGGAGCCGAGAGTGACAGGTTGCGCGACGAGTCGCGAATCTGAGCTCGCAGTCACTGCAGACCCACCCCTGCGGGGCGGGGCCCGCGCCTCAGTGTCTACGTCTTTGTCCCCAGTAGCCAGCCCCCGCAGCTGCTCCCTCGAGAATAGTATGTACATCCGAGGTCTCGGCGAAGCACGATGGGCAGGGCTTATTCCTTGCTGGAAGTTGAGCAGATAGAGCGGGAAAGCCCGTTGTGAGCTTGTGCCACTCAGCTCTGTAACTTCTGCATCCTGATGCACATCTATAAAAACAGGAGGGATCCAGCCACCCAAATTGGGTGGCTGGCAGTGGGAAGGTAGTGACACTGCCTGTGAGAACCGCTTTCGCTCCTGCTCCCTCTCCAGCGAGGCTTCATTCCCTTGAGATGGCCCAAGAGGCCTCATCTTGGGGTCTGGGGTGGAGGCTGTGACCTGGGACTCTGGCTTGTTTACTTAGGGCTCTGCTGAGGCACAGGGTAGACTGGGAGCTGGGAGAGGCTCCCAGTGACTGCCTGGGAGGTGACTGCCTCCCCTAGCTCTATGCCCCAGGCACAGGGCCCACAGGGCATAGCATCCCTAGATGTGCGTTGCCAGGGGAACCCAGGGCACTGCCAGCGGCTTGGGTGCAGATGCGCCCAAGAAGTGCCATCTCACAGGGCCCACAGCACATTCCACACGGCCCACAAAAGCCCCTGGGAGAAGAGGGCTAGGGGGAGCTCCTTGCAGAGGTCTCATATGGACCGATAACCTGTTCTACCAGAGAGCCCTAAAGAAAGGCCAATTAGGTCTCAGGTCAGAACACGGAATGTCCACAGCATGTGAGATGTTCATCTCCGATTGGGTCATTCCTGCCCAGTGCTCTGTACCTGTACCTGTATTGGACCTAGGCATTCAGAGATAAATTACTCTCCCCTCAGGGCTGGGGCAGAGGAGACCAGCAAGTCTGTAATTACTGTACCTATTATTATAACCCTATTGAGATTAGGGTTGTACCAGGAGTTCAGAGAAAGTTCATAACCCCCCTGGCTGCAAGGCCTCAATAGGGATGAGTAGGAATTGGAGAGATGGGTAAGAGGTGAACAAGGTTTGTTCCAGGCAGAGAACAGATTTCCAAAGACTTGGAAACCAGAAAGTACCTACAGTGAGCAGAAGGCAAAGGTGAAGTTTGATGAGTGGGCAGAGTGTTACAGGCCACTGCAAAGTGTCTGGACTTTATCCTGAGGGCAGTAGGGAGTCATGGAAGAGTTTAGAGCAGGGGATTTACATGGTCAGAATTCTGGATGGATCACTGGATTCGACTAGAGTCGGGGAAGGTGGGTGAAGCTAGGAGGAGAAGACAAATGGTCAAGGAGAAGGAGCAAATGGCATTAGGTGGGTAGAACATCCTTTCCAATAAACTGTCCTGCCTTCGGAGGATCTCCAACCTTTAGGGACTGAGTGTGGAATTCAAAGCCCAAATGCCACATCACCTTTGGCCCATCCACTAGTAAATACCACATGTAACACAATCCTGGCATAGTATAAGGTCCCAGATGCTTGGCCAGCTCACCTTCCCCTTCCCATAAGACTTAAAGCAACTTTGGGATGTGTTTCCCTCCCCACCAGGTTGTCATCTGGATTGAGAAAATGGCCAGTCCCTCTTCCCTCCAGACATGACTTCCCCTGAGTCAGGAACTCGGCCCATCAGACTAGAGGGGAGGCAGGAGGAAGACCCTGGGTCTGTCAGCCCCCTCCTGGAAAAGGACCACAGAGAAGCTATAGATGGCTTGAAAAACTCACCCACTGATCAAATGTTCAGTGATACATCTGTGTTCCCAGCCACCGAGCACCTGGAGAACACTTAGAAGGGGTCATGTTGTGGGGAGGGTTTCTGGTCTGGGATAAACTTAGAATCTAACATGGAATGATGAGGGCTGGGGCAGGTATGGGCACCAACTGCAGGAAAAAGTCACCATCTTTGGAAGAAAGGCAGCAATGGCAGGGAGCTCTGCAGGCTATGAAGAGGCTGAAGGGGCCTGTCCACCTACACACACCAATATACATACCCTTTCCACCTCTTTTCCCCAGCCAGCACCAGCACCTCCCCCTATAAGCTCTTCCTCAGGCCAGTTCCAAAGCTCCTGCAGGAGGTTATCTGGGCCTGCCTCCAGCCCTTTGAGAGCCCTGTGGAACCAGGAGGCCCAGAGGACCAGTGCAGTATATAGAACCCCAGGGCAGACAAGGACTCTGTGGATCTCTGCACACCCTCTCCCCCTCCTGTGTGAATGCCAGCCAGGACTGAGAATTAGGGGAAGCCATCCTTTTCATCAGCTGCCACAGGCCTGGCCCTGAGCTCCCGTTGTCGAAGGCTCTGCTGTGCCCTCTGAGGCACAGGATGGTACAGCTTAGCCTAGCCCAGCGTCTTGTTCCACATTAGGGAAAACAGGAGCCTTGGAGGAAAGTCAGAATTTAGAAAAGTTCTTCCTCTCCATGCCACATCTCCCCAAGAATCAAAACTCTTGTTTGATTCATCTTCTGTGCCTGCTCCCTCCCAACCCCGTGCCAAGGTGGCCCCAGGACACAAGGATTGCCCTTGAGCAGCTCCAAATCTGGGTGGAGAGAAAAAGACCAGCCAATTAAAATCTCAGAAAGTTAGTTGCTGAAGTCAGCACAGGCTGCGGAGGTGAGAAGACAGGGTCAGCACTTTGTCCTCAAATGCCAGGCTGAGAAGTTGGGACTTGGTCCAGAGGGCAGTCTCAGAGAGCCATGGAAGAGTTCTGAGCAGAAGTAACACCTGGAAGGACCTAAATGTGCAGGACTGTGGCCATAAGAGATTCTTTGCACACAGTCCAGTCTTCTTGCTGTGGCTTTGGAAGACCTACCACCCTCTCCAGCCTTACTCATCCTTTCCTCTCATGCTCGTATCAAAACCATTTGTCCCCAGATGTGATGAGCTAAGGGGAAGTCCTCAATCAAGCTGGCTGGAATAGATGGATAAGTGTTGCGGCTACTAGCCCAGGGAGGGATTTGGGAGTCTCAATAGCCTAGTTTGAGGTAGACATGGTGAGGAGAACAGTGGGCAGAGCTTTCAGGCCTGACTGAACCCTCCCAGTGGGTCCCTGGCTGTGGGCAGGTTACTTCGAGACCATGGAGGCACCATGGAGATGTGCTAAAGTGAGATCATTTGAGGACCAATATATTCAACCAGGATCTTTGCCAGATATCCTCAGTCATGGAACACACACTAGCTCTGCCCCACTGCCTACCCTGTGAAGGGCTCTCTTCCCAGTGCTTCCCAGGGCCCTCAGAGCCCCCACACTCCAGCCTCAATAAATATTAACATAACTCTATCCCTGCCTCTCCTTCCCCGGAGCCCAGAAATGAACTTGACCCTGCCAGAGGAGAGGCTTCTCCAGGGAAACCTCCCTGGTGGGAGAGGTGGCCCAAGATCAGAGCCCAGTCCCACCAGGGAGGTGGATCTTAGGACTCAGTGCCTGGGGAATCCACTGGGGCCTGTCTGTCTGCCCAGTTCCAGTTGGAGAACGAGGAAAGGCAAAGGGCGCATTTTGATAGAGACAGTTTTTAGTAAAAAAAAAAAATCAGAAATCAATTGTGCCTAAAGCATGGGGACTGAGACTGGACCAAGCCTCAGCCTTTCTCCTAGGTGGGACCCCTTCTCTGGGGGCACTGGTCTGCAGAGTTAGGGCAGCCTGGCATGGAGTGACCCCATTAGCCATGCAGTGCCCTATCACAGGGCCAGCTTATTATCCTCAGCCAGCCTCACACAGGCAGAGGACAACTGATCCCACTCTCAGAGGAGGGCCCTTGGGCCAGAGATGACTAGGAATTGCCCAAGGTCAAACAGCGATGGGCCCTGGGAGGCAGCTGGTAGTGCAGTATTCTTATCTGCACACAGAAGAACAAGTGTGGGTGGCAGGGAACGGCAGTGCCAGGACTGAGACAGAGACCTCAGCCAAACCCTTGACTCAGAGGCCGGCAGGGCCAGGGGCTGCTGGCTGGCACAGGTGTCTGACCCTGTGCCAGGTGGCCATACAGCAGTGAGGCTGACCCAGGGTACATGTGGGAAACACGGCCTTGGCCCACGGGGGAATCCCCCCCGCCCCACAGAGAGCCTGGAAAAGGGAGGAGAAGCAGCATGTTTACAGCTGAGGAAGCGGAGGCAGGGCAGGGACCTTTGGTCAGAACGCCCCTCCCAGTAAGCGGGGGAGGCCCCAGGAGATGTGGTAGCCGTTTGTTTGCTTCTCACTGCCAGGAGGAAATTAAAGAGAATCTGCCACTTCCTTCCGCCCCAAATGGGATGGGGAAGGCAGGGGTGGGGGCTGGGAGAGCTGTGTGGTGTGACCTGGCAATTGTA